CGGGTAGGGCGCGTACTGCGGCATCGGGGCGGCGTAGGGCGGCTCGGCGTGCGGGTGGTGCGGGTACTGCGGCTGCGCCTGCGGGTGGAAGCCGTACTGCGGCGGAGGCTGCTGCTGCGCCTGCGCGTACGCCATGGCCGCCGCCGCGTAGTCCTGGGCCTGCCGGTCCATGGGGCGGCGGGATTTGGAGGCGGGGAGGGGTGGGGTGGGGTAGGGCTCGCTGCGCCGGTGGTGACGGCGGCGGAGGAGGAGGAGGGGAGAAGAGGCTTCTACCCTCTTCTGTATCTTTGGGCGAAAATTACAGAAACAGCCCTAGGCCCCTGCTGGCAGGATTTTTTACAAAAGGCCCCCGTGGAGTTCTGGATTTGTATTATTTTGCCTTCTAGTCTGCAACTACAACTCTAATTATTATTTTTTGAAGAAAGAGTATGCTCGATGTTGAGCACAAGAGAGTTGGTAAGCACCGAGACCCGTCTTTCATCCCCGCGGTCTTCTTAAACCTCAACTATCACCCACTTCACGTATCCTTTGTCTTTGCCTCTTGCCCCCTCCCCCCTCCCCCCTCCGGGGCCCTAGCTATTGCCTTACCACCCATAGACAATGGTGGTTCATCGTTTCTCCTCTATCGCCTCATTGGACGAAGTTTCTAGCATTGAGTTATCAACATGCCACATTTAGCATTGCACACCATCATTCTCTTAGCCCAGCCCACATCAAGCATCAGTGGTAGTCAGAAAGCATGCATGTTGCAATTCCATCAAAATGTGAAACCCTTTTCAAGGATAGCACACAATTTAAATACAGCATTGATGATGCATTTGCTCACCATAGTGGTCACGGTTATCTAGAATGTCAACTTAACTCTCAAATGTATCACAGTAACTGATCATGGAGTCTGGGTACTGGCGGATGAACTCGCTGGACATGTATCTCAAGCCATAGTTGAACTTGATCACAACGTTGTTGATGTAGTTGATTTTTGGCTGCCATAGTCCGAAAGGAAGTGAGGTGCGCAGCCAACAGGTGGATCCGTCGTTGCCACACCCTAAATCCATCGATCTCCATTGGAGGTGGGGGTAGCGAGGTTGGAACACTAGCAAGCAAACCTAGTAGCTTTGGCAAGCATGGAGACATGCAGCAACAATTCTACACATAAGTTGTGGGGTCAGTTTTTTCTTATTACACCCTTGGCTTTATTCATATTTGTGCAAAAAGAACATAATTTAAAGAGTTCAGTGCATTTGAACCCGCAACATTTTAGTGCTGGCGTTTCCACTAGGGATATGAAAAAGAAATGGAGGCACAATAGAAGAGGATGGTGGTCTTGTTGCCTTTGTGAGAAGCCATGGCCACATGTGGCAACCACAAAAGGAATCAACTATACTCTACACATAATTTTAGGATGACAATCGCATGGTCAAAAGAAAGCGAAGCGAAAACTCTGAGTCATCACCAGTTACCGAATAGAGGAGGATTTGGATCCTGGTTGGCACAAGAGACATAAATGTGTAACCCTCAAGTTCAGGGACCAAATTGGCATTGCATTGCAAATATAGGTGGCATGTGATATAGTAATGCATTTCACTTCCACAGGCACAAGTAGGCCTTTAAAATAGCAGCAGTGTAACATGTGAGGGGTGTCAAAACCTCTAAACAATATCAGGAAGGGCTGTCATAGGCTCCATACAAGCTCAGGTAGCAACTTCAAGATCCGGCGATATTAAGAAGAAAACTTCCACATGAGGCAAAATATGTTTTGGCAATACTATAATATCTGTCTTCACGTAAGCTAACTGCTGCAGAGCACAGCTGCGGGGACACTGAGCTTCGAACGCCCGATGTATAGAGAACTGGATATGATATAGCAAAAGCACTGGGTTTCAAAGCAACCCAGGTTTTCGTCCATTCAATGTTTCAATCTAACTCCTTAGTGCTGAAATCTGCCACCCACCACCCAAGTCTACAAGTCCACAGGATCATCCTCCTCGTTGCCATTGTACTGCGGGGAAAAACAAAGAGCGTAAAATGTCAGCATAATGCTAAACAGACAGCAGGCACATAGTACTGGCTGAAAGTAGCTGCTAGCCCCATTGATGCATTTGCAGTGTGAACATAGCAAATTTAAAAATAGAGAAGTTGACAAAAAGAGAAGGGCAAAAGTAGTAAAGAACACGGGAATAACTGTAAATGGCGATCAGTTTATGCAAATTGATTTTACTATCACAGAGTGCTTTTAAAAACATTGAATGGCAAGAGATGAAAATGATCCACATGCCGATCATAAATAAAACTGCAAGGACCAGCCGGCGACTAGAGGGGTGAACACCAAAATTCTTGCATAGTTAAAAGACAATAGGAAAATACCAGGGTAGTATCAGTAATGGAATCTTTGCACATGCATACGGCTACATGACTATACAGGACATGCCGAACTTAAGCTGCTGTGCTGACAGATTAATTGTACAAAATGAGTACGTGATTCTCTGCTATGGTACACCAGCCATTGCAAAGTAGTTGCGTCAACTATTTAGATGATCAAGCTTGTTATTGCTTGGAAAATGAAGATACATAAGCCTTTTGGACTCATTGGAGGTGCCATCATAAACAAACAAACAAACAAAAAGTCATACAACCCACACCATTTGTACCAAAATAGACATCTATTTGTCCGCATTTATAATCTATCCTGGCAATTTCAACAGAACCAACTACAACGTTAACTAGATCAGTGGAGAACGGAACATGCTTTACTCCAGAACATTCTACCTGTAAGTAGCAATAACCCCTAGATGACACGCAGATGGCTGAACCATAAGTCTAACCAAATGAACGACACCTAGATGAGCTATCAATCAAACCTGAAGAGAAACAAGACCTTACTTTTACTAAGGAATAACCAAAAGTAGCCTGTAACTTACAAAATTGCAGTGAATGAGAAATAAAGGGTATACACACAACAGGATAATAAGATAATGAGCCATCAACTGAGTTATCTCTGCCCAACAACGTTCATGTATGTTTAATAAATATAATTGGCTGATCCGCTGTGAGAAATATACTCACCCTGTCTGTAAAATCATTGCCAGAAGAAATGACATTTAGTTCGTCATTATTGTCATCATCCCCTAATTTCTTCAGAGATTCAGTTCCTTTGCTATTTTTCAAAGACTCCAGAGCATCTTCTGATCTATATTTCCCTGACACGTGGATCATATCGTCACCATTCACTCTCCTTTTCTTTCCTGAAAAAAGTAACAACAGTTTGTAATCAAAAGACATGGTTTCTTTCCTTTGTTGGCACATTTGCCCCAGGGAATGCATAAATATTCAAGACAACAATGGCCTATGTGTCCGAACAAGAAATATATCACATTTTAAAGGATAAATGGGTTCAACATCTAAAAAAAATTAACTGGGTACCATTTAACTTGAATACCTTGTGGACACATGAGACTGTTAGCTTCTATAATGTCAGTATAAACTACTCCCTCCGTTCCGAATTACTTGTCGCAGGTATGAATGTATCTAGATGTATTTTAGTTCTAGATACATCCATTTCTGCGACGAGTAATTTAGAACGGAGGGAGTAGTAAGATGCGATCTTTATATACTAGTAATGAGTTTAACAGGCTAACGGCGTTAAGATGGCTAGAAAAATGCTGGTGTACCAAAATAAAGTAGTATCACCCAAGTTCTCGTCAAGGTGTTACCAGTTTTTTCTTCTTCGCTTGTTGAAAGGGCAGCAGATCTTTTTCTAGCTGCTGAACCATTCTTCTGTCGCTGATCATCTGGGCTCATTTCATAAGCATTATATGGGTCATCATTACCAGCATTCACACTCGACCCTTGTTCTTTGGTACCAGATTTCAAGGAATCAGAAGCAAGCGAATCAGCCAACCTCTCAAAACGGCCTTGAGACCTGAAGATAACCAATGAGTCAATAGCTATGAAAGTCATGTCAAGACTAAAATCAGGAGTGCAATTATGTGGTGATCTAAACGAAATAAAAATTCGTAGTAGTTCATATAAAAGGAACATGCCTTTTTAAATCATCCTGTGCTTTCACGTAACGCCCATATGCTTTGATGAGTTTCTTTATTTTGGAGGTCATCCTGCATCCAAAGAGCAGTACTATCAAGAACCAAATACTTGGAGAACTTCTCCTGAACTGAAGAGTCCACCTACTAAAATTTGGATAACATAGAAGTATGCTCATATGTTGTAGAAATTGAGAACCTTTCACAATCTTCTTTCTCTTTGTTCAACTGTGATTCAAGATCATCTACTCTGCCAGAAAGTATGCCTGCTTCGTCGATTTTCTTGTCCAATATCGTCTGTCATAATGTGTATTTATAGATATAAATGAAAATAGATTGTAGTAATCTCAACCACAACTATATGAAAGTAAAACGTCATATCCCAGAGAAGTTCAAGAAAGCAATTTGTCAGGCACTTATGACGGCCGACTGGTTATCTCCATGTTCAATCAGAGCATGATCCCATGTCAATATTTTCCCAAGCATGAATGATTACTCATTACTCCCTCCGTTCGGAATTACTTGTCTCGAAAATGGATGTATCTAGAACTAAAATATGTCTAGATACATCCATTTCTGCGACAAGTAATTCCGAACGGAGGGAGTAGTTTGTGGCATCATAATTTGGAGAGAGAAACATCGGTAGTACCATCCGCATGAATGTATGATCATGCTTAGTGGAGTGAACCTCTTTTAAACTTGGAAGGTCTAAATTTCTCCATCATAAAAATTGGCATGCATCAACTATCTAGTTAAGGCAGAAAATGTTGGAACCACACATGCAACCAAAATATAACTTAATAACTGATAAGTGTGGGCCGTTGCATCTGTATTTACAACTCATAATTGAGTGTCATCTATAACATGCTTAAGAGACACTGATTACTGACCTGTAGTTTAGATTTATCTTCATGCAATGCTTTCATATCCAGTGCAATTTGTTTCAGCTGCAGAGCATACATAAACATATAACAGAGGTCCAGGAATACGGAGACAGCTCGACCTATATGCTAATGAGATGGATTGTACAGTTCAAACCTTTGCTTCGCCGTCATCCTTCTCATCACTGCTGGAATGTATGTCATCTTTTTTTCTATCTTCATTTTCAGAGGTGTTGAAACTTCCTGATGAATCACTTTTATCACCATCAACTTTCTTCTTAGGCCTTCTCTCACTGGAAAATCCACATAATCACTTGGAAAGGTCAATGCATGTATATTTGCTCAAAGTCCATCTAGAGTTAACTGAGTGGACAACAAAGACCATATACTGGAATGGAATACACCGAGATCCTTGTCACATACCTCTTCCTGATGGGAGATCTTGATTGACTAGATCCTGCAAATAAGATTTAAATAGGAACAAAATTATACACCGGGATTCTATTTTATCAAAAATAATTATCAAGTTTAAGTAAAAAAAAACTATGGGAACCATGTGACACGTGCGCCCGTGCACACACAGGAAAGAAAAAGATTATCCCTACCTCGAGAATGTGGTGGCATCTTGTTACGAAACAAATGGCCTCTGGTATCTCTGTCAGGGGAATACCTCCGCCGGGGTGAGTTTCTTCTCTCAGGCCTGCCTCTAAATTCATGAATTCTATGATCTCGCCCCCCTACAGGTTAGGAATGTAAAAGCTTATATAATAATATAAAAAAGAACTACACCACAACAAATATAGATGGACAGAGACAAGGCAAAACAGAAGAACATTTAAGCTTGCCACAACCTTGAGCGATATGACTATTCGAGGCAATAATATAAAGAAACTACACCACTGCGAAAAAAGATGGAGTTATATAGAGACAAGGCAACACACAAAACATGTAAGCTTACCACAACCTTGAGCCATATGATTAGTCATTTAGCAATAAGTAGTAGAGAGTCCAGGATAACCCCAAAGGCCATTAAATGGAAGAGCCAATAAGACTAATGCAAGAAGAGATACCAACATATGATTACACATTGCGGTGCACCGCTTAAAAATAGATCCAGCACTTGCAACATCAGTCATCTGAAGTGAAATTGATTGATACTCCAGATTTGGACATCATGCTTTCATTACCATGAATAAAGATCTTCCACAACTCCAATACCGCCAAGTAAATCTAATTTAACTTGTCCAGATATTTCCATATTGACTTTAATTATTCTTGCTCAGTGATAGCACTTGGAATGACAGGCAAGAATAAAGCCGAAGAAGAAAACTCAGAACTCCTAGCATATTCAAAGAACAATTGGTTGCAAAGCTGAACAATATGGTTTTTGCAAACTGAACTTATCATGCATCTGATTGAGATGAGGAACCACGTGATATCCCTGAATAAAGTTCTCTGGTAAGAGGATGGCCATGCAAGTGACCACAAAATATATGTTCACTGACTGAAAAGGAAAGCAATGCAAATAGAACGAGTCATCCTCTGGAAGTGATCAATCCTAAGAAATCTGCTCAGGTGACAGCTAATTTGGGTGGTAAAATCAATGGAATAACCAGCAGGAATGCCACGCTGTTCTGCAAGAAGCTTTGACTTCAGTTCAACTACTATATCAAAAGGATAGGAGATCATATATGAAAGATAATACAACAAGACATGACACAACTGGTAGTTCAATCTCTGAAGTCTGCACATGTAAAGAAAATATCATCATAGTACTAAATTTCCATACTAAAACATGACCCCAAGTTTGCGAAGCAGACTGCAGAGTTCCCTCAGCCACCACAAGTAACTAGAAATAGCAGAATGATGCCACTTTGTACAACCTCCAATGGTGCTCTTCTATCTAAGTTGCTGCAATTGTGTTATTCTTCCAATTACATCCTCTCATTGCTAACTCCAAACACAAGATTTTCAGTGCTTTCTGCGGAAGCTTGGAAGCCATATGGCATTTGATACCTCTTGTTCCAATGATTGCAGAAGCATACCAATTTGTAAGGGTGCTCCTGTCAGTTGCTACAATGGAGTTATTGTTCCAAGTATTTCCCCTCGCTGCTAACTCCCCACCACAAAATTTTCAGGGTTCTCAGCGGGAAGCATAGCATCTGATACCTCTTGTTCCTCCATCTACAACCAGAATCTTACACCGTCTGCCCAGCCCCCCCGCAAATAACAAACTGTCCGTGGCTATAACAAAACCCAACACACACATAAATACTTGAATCTCTTGAAAAGAATGCTCCTCCTCTGCTGGATCACTGATACTTCTGCCTAAAAATATCACAGAATACCATCCTTTTGGACTAGCAGCAGACCACCCAGACTTATCCTGTGTCGCAAGTAGGTTCAACAGCGGCAATTTTACTGTCCACACACACTGCAGAAACCATCGGTGCTTTCTGGACACACCACAGTCGCTAAGCAGGCAAAAATCCCTAACCGAGTGCACGTAGAAAAGCAGGCGGGGGGAGGGAGGGATGGGGGAGGGGGGAGATGCGTATGGAGTATACCAGGTCCAGCGCGCGGCGGGAAGGTGGAGTGGGGAGGCGGCGTGCGGAGCTCGCCTTCGCCGTGGGCGAAGCCGCAGGAGGGGCCGCGGGGGCAGGGGCCGCGCCTCCACAGCGCGCACAGCTTCGTCTTGAAGGCCGGGCCGCGGCGCGGCGGAGGATCGAGCATTTCCCGCATCTCTCGAGCGCGCGCCGGCGATCCGGGGGCGGGGAGGCGGGCGGCGCCGGCGGGAGGAGGAAGGCGAGGGAAGGAATGGAGGAGGGAGGAAGGGCACGAGGGCGACGACGGACGAACCGAAGAGGCCTCGGAGCAGCGGCTGCCCAAGTAAGCCCGACGGATCGGCCCAGGAACTGAAGGGCCGACACGTGGTAAAAATGGGCTGGACAGTGCCCTGCAGCCTGGGTGAAGAGGCTGGGCAGAGGCTACTGTGCGGCCCATTTTTATCTCCTCAGGTATCTTTTGTAAAAATCATATAATTTGGAAATTTTGTCTCAAAAAAATATAATTTGAAAATTCACATTTAATATATTTGGTCCTAAGATTTCATAGCATGAGAGGATAAACTGGTCAGTTTTTTTTTGTTTTGGCATTTTTCTAAAGTGAGTTTGTTTGGTTCCCTCATCAGATTTGGGAGGGTTGAGGGTGGAAGGCGGACGAGGAGAAAAGTATGTAGGAGGAAGGAAGAGGGGGAGAGGAGGACATGGGGTGAAAACAAGTCTTGTGTACTAGCCCTTCGCTTCGCGAAACAATGTGTGCCCGAGTAAGGCTAGAAGGTCGAACCAACGTAGAGGATGTTACATTGCCGATACAACGGTGAAGGAACTTCCCTCTTGCAAAGGAAAAGGGAAACGAAGGGACCTCGCCAAAAAATAATTTAAAGTGCCCTCGCTAAGTTTTTGCTCAAGGAGTTGGGAGTACCTCATCCTCAAACAACAGTGTCATGGTGTGATATTTTAGGGGCATCATAGTTGTCAGTCAACTCAATCTTTCATGCTCAAACTGAGCATACTAGGGTGGATTATCATTCTGTGTTGAGCATGTGGCGAGTTGCTTGAGATTCGGTACAATCATTTGGTGGTCAACTGGCGAACGAATTTACCAAACCTTTGTTGGTATGGTATCTTGAAGCCTGAAAACAGTCTTATAGCTTAGATGAGTTTGAGGAGTGTTAGAATATCAACAATTGGATCGTATGACAAGAATATATGGTCGGGCCAAAGATCAAATGAATAGGCATACTACAATAATTGTTAAATTACTAATCAAAATCATACATGGAAACAGCAAGAAACTCCAAATTATGTTGCCCCCAATTTAACTCCTACATGCAACACCGCTGCACATTGCAAGCACAGGGCACTTCAAAAATTCCGTAGTTAAATTCATACGAGGCGGGGCGGACAGCTGTGACGGGGTGGCCGACCGGCCCATCGACTCAATTACAACCGGGCAGTGGCGAAGAGCAGAAGACCAACAACGGTCTCAGGCGCACCCTTGTTTCCCTCCTTGACGGCGGGTTGTTTGCCAAGGGTGCACTCGGATCAGAGGCGTACTTCCTCGACGGCAAGGGCTTGCTGGTTCATGGGTGGAGCAGGGAGCAGCCGTGCCCGAGAGTGGACAGGAAATAGAAACAGAGACGAAGCATCGAAACATGTGCATACAACATGCATGATTTTGCCAAGACACTACTACCT